AATAAACCCAAACAAGATGGCTACAGCCACGGAAAGCAGAGGCTTGGGTTCCCCAGGCAATGGAGGAAGCCAAGTTTACCACCTGCCCTTGCTGGCCTAAGCCTCCACTCAAGGCTACAAAGTTTCAATTATAGAAGGTAAACAAATTCAAACAGAAATGGCTGCTGGCCCCCAGAGCAAGCAGAAGGCTTAGCTCCACTCCAGGCTACAAAGTTTCAATTGTAGAAGATAAATAAATTCTAGATACCAGGGCCTCTGCTTGAGTCACCAGGGGGCATGGCCAGCCTGCAAACCACCAGAGGCCCCTTGCTCAGGCTGCCCCACACCCCAAGGGAATCCCAGCCGGCCACACCCATGCACCAAGGCTCTATCTTATCTAATGAGTAATATGCAGATTGACCATCACTCCAACACACAAGATCAAGATAGCTGCCCCCATGTGGTCAAAAATCCTGCCCCTAGGTAGACACAAGATGGCCACCACAAGATGGCCAGAAGGGGAGGGCAGTTGGGAGGTACCAGGCCTGCAAAGGAGGGCAGTAGGAAGCGATCAACACTGCAGGGGAGGGCAGTTAGGGGTGACCAGGCTGGCAGAGGAGGGGAGTTGGGGGCAAACAGGCTGGCAGGGGAGCAATTAAGACATCAATCAGGCTGGCATGGGAGTGGTTAGGGGGTGATCAGGCTGGCAGGCAGAAGTGGTTGGGGGCAATCAAGAAGGCAGGCAGGAGAGCAGTTGGGAGCCAGCAGTAGTGGATTGTAAGAGGAATATCCGACTGCATCCCTCTCACAATTCAGGCAGTTGGACATCTGTCGAGGGGTCCCAGATTGGAGAGGGTGCAGGCTGGGCTGAGGGATCACCCCACCCCAACCCCATGCACAAATTTCATGCACTAGGCCTCTAATTTTTACATAACAATGATTGTTGTTAGAATGAAGAGCTGGGGGGACTATGAATAAGGAAAGACAAGAAAGCACAACTAAAAATATCAGCATTAAGCACTGAAATGGATGGTTTCAAATGCTCGCTGGAAATGTCAAAATTCTCAAGAATCACTAAGGAAGTCTCACTACCAACCTCAAGCGCTCACTGGGAAGCAGCCGTGACTAAGTGTCTCTGGCAGTCTGGTTGCAACTGTTTCCCTGTAGGTGAGGTGTGCTTCTCTGGCCCAGTGGTTGGCTTGTCTGTTAATTGCTTTAAGTCAATGGAATAGGAACAGTTTGACCTATGCCACATCCAAGCAGGAACTTTAAATGTGCTTGCATGGTATGGTTTGGTCTCTTGCTCCTGCCCTTCACTACAAGAAAAGTGTGTCCTAGACAGGGGCTGTCCTATCAGCCTAGGGCCAGAAGAAGACGCGTGGAGCAGAGTCAGTCTAGCAGAGTTCAACCGGAGTTGAGCAGAGTTGCAACTGATTTGAAGACCCATGAAATTAAGGTTTATCATAAATCACTAAGATTTTGCAGTTGCTTATTTTAGTCTACTCCCAGGGAATACTAAAATAAGATTTTATATATTCATTCTCTTTCATTATACCCTTCCTTTCTATATCTAATAGATATAGAAATTATCTATTATATATCTTTAATATTCTCCTGTATTAAAGAATTTAAAGACCAAGTTTCTGCCAAAATTGGTTTGGCTCAGTGGATAGAGTGTCAGCCTGTGGACTGGAGGGTCCCAGGTTCGATTCCTGGTTTAACTCTGGTAGACTGACTCTGTTCCATGCGTCTTCTTCTGGCCCTTGGCTGATAGAACAGCCCCTGCCTGGGATACACTTTTCTCGTAGTGAAAGGCAGGAGCAAGAGACCAAACCATACCATGCAAGCACATTTAAAGTTCCTGCTTGGATGTGGCATAGGTCAAGGGCATGTACTTTGATTGCAGGCACATCCCAGTGAAGGGTGTGCAGGAGGCAGCTGATCCATGTTTCACTCTCATGGATGTTTCTAGCTCTCTATCCGTCTCCCTTCCTCTCTGTAAAAAATCAATAAAATATATTTAAAAAGAAGAAGACCAAGTTTCTAACTCCAGTTGAATTTTTTTTATTAAAGTGCATTAGTAAATAAAGTGTTAACAATCAAGAAAGCTTTACTGAAATATGCACAAATAAAAATCCTCTATTTGTCCTGCCAGTGTGACTCAGTGAGCATCGACTTAGGAACCAGGAAGTCACGGTTCGATTCCTGGTCAGGTCACATATGCTGGTTTCGGGCTCAATCCTCAGTAGGGGGTGTGCAGGAGGCAGCCAATTGAAGAGTCTCTCTCATCATTGATGTTTCTATATCTCTCCCTTTCTCCCTTCCTCTCTGAAATCAATTAAAAAAATATTTAAAAATCCTCTACTTAATGAATCACTCAAAAGATGTTCTATGAAGTAATAGTAATCATGATTGGAAGCTAATTAATCTGAATTTATTCTTAACCACACACATTGATTCTCAAATTAGGATATTCAATCATCCTGGTTACCTTAACATATGGGGCTGGCTGTCAATACCTGAATACTAGTCCCAGCAAGTCAGTGGAAAAATGATGTGATTTGAAACTAATCATTTATCCTTGGTGCCACAATTTCTCCATCTGCCCTGAGAACTAATCTTCCCTTAGAGAAGATTTGTAAGAAAGTAAAATGTTAAGACCATACTTCTAAGCCTCAGAAAGCATTCACATGCATATTTTAAATTTATATATATTTCAGAGGGGAAGGGAGAGATAGAAACATTAACGATGAAATGAAATCATTGGTTAGCTGCCTCCTGCACGCCCTCTTCTGGTGATGGAGCCCACAACTCAGGCATGTACCCTTGACCAAAATCAAACCTGGGACCCTTTAGTCAGCAGGGGGACACTCTATCTACTGAGCCAAACCGGCTAGGGCAATGTGCATATTTTATTTTTAATTATTATTTTTTAATATAGTTTATTGATTTTGTACAGAGAGGAAGGGAGAGAGATAGAGAGTTAGAAACATCGATGAGAGAGAGTCATCGATCAGCTGTCTCTTGCACACCCCCTACTGGAGATGTGCCCGCAACCAAGCGGGAATCGAACCCGGGACCCTTCGGTCCCCAAGCCGACGCTCTATCCATTGAGCCAAACCGGTCCCGGCCAATGTGCATATTTTAAAAAGGGCAACTTATTTGTACTTGACACAAATTAATACTATATGGCTTTAAACGAAATAAATGACTGCTCTTTCTTTGAAAATTATCTTTTTACTGAAATTACATTAAAATTAGAGTTTAATAGGGTTCACAATGATATGCTCGGTAAATTATTTTGATTGCAATGAGGACTGCCATCCTCTTCGGGCAAAATGTACAAAGTATTTAAAGCAATGCCATGCATCACACATTCACAGGACCTGTCCATAAAGACAGAAATCCCACTGCCTTACAGCACAAGGAGGAAGCTCTGTTAGTTTTGGTATGGTTCCTTTGGATATGGTCTGAAACGCCATCATGACTTCAGAGAGGCTGTAGCTGACAAAGGACAGAGTATAAATAAGCCAATTTTGATTAGGTCTCCTGGCACAATTCAATGGCCTGGTGCTGTTATTAAACAGATTCAGTAATATCTACGTTAGGAGAAAGAGGATTTAAAGTAAAAAAGCTTGAAAATATAGATGGCAATTGTGGGGCTAGAAGAGAAATAAAATAATCCTGATGGAATCAGACTTTCCTAAAAAACCTTGTTTCTGTGGGCAGTGTGTGATTCTGCTGTAAGAGAAGTTTAAAGAGATTGGTACAAAAACCCTTATATTTCAAAGAAATGTGCAATACTTTTAGGTAGAAACAGTATTGCTAAATCTCCACATGACACTTTGAAACCACTAACAGGAAAAAAAGAAAAGAAAATCATCATTAATCAACATAGAAGAAAAATGGTACCTAAGCTGTCTTGCTGTTCAATAATTGATCATGCAAATGGACATGCCATATCAATAAATAAAATCTGTAGTTAATTGGTCATTTAAAAATGAATTAGATGAAAATGAATTTCTGCAGTGTACTCAGACATTTTAAGACTAAGGTAGTTTCAGAAAAAACATGGAACATCCTTAGAGGAGGCCTGTTCATACTGGTTGTGACAGAGCACTCCATGCCCTATACAGAGTTCACAAGAAAATAATATTCACATTGACTATAGATCTCTTAGAAAATCAAGGGAAAACACTTTACACAATATACCTTTCAATAACATGCAGTATTTAGGTAATTGTAAATCATCATCCTTTACAAAGAAGGTGCAGGTGCTCCAAAATTATCTTAAGAGTTAATGACTTTAGAAAGAGGTGTCAAAATTTTAATTCTCATCCAAGGATATGTTTTTCCTTGATTGGTTGCCTCCTGTATGTGCCCTGACCAGGGATTGAACCAGCAACCTTGGTATGTGCCCTGATGGGAAATTGAGCCCGAGACCCCTTGATGCATGGGATGACACTAATCAACCGAGCCACACCGGCCAGGATTAGTGTCAAAATTTTAAATTAAAAAACAACAACAACAACTTAATTTCAAAGTTAGTTTTGCCAAACCTCTGGTAAGTCCTAGTACAGGGTGAGCAAGAAGAAAATATTCTCCCTCTTTTATGACATGCACCTCTCATGACCAGGACGAATGCCATGGACCAGATGCCATCATAATCTTATCTGCACACTTGGGGCCAGCAGGAGCCAGGCTGGTTCTAGGTAAAACTAAAGCAGAGAGCAGTCCCACAAAAGAGCATGTGAAGGACGGATCCAACAGGAGATTTCCAAGGTCACTGGGCATCCAAATGACCCCAGTATAAGTTCATCAATTTTTTGTGATTCAGGATCCTAGCCTTGCACTGTCTACAAGCACCATAGCCCACAGGTCGCCCTAAACTACCCTGATGTCCTTGGCCTGGGCCAGCTCTCCCCTGGACAAGCTGGAAATGAAGGCTGAATGAGCAGGGTAGGCAGAACACCATTTATTGGAGCCAACCCCCACCTAGCAGATGCTTTGTTGACAAGAGCTTAGTGATTCTGGAGCAGCTCTTCCCAACAGATGGGCTGTGAAAACACCTCTCTTTCCAGCCAGATCTCATATGAACAGTGGAAATCCTCAGGCAGATCCAGCCTCTGACCCAGCACACTCTGCAGGCAGTTATCCACAGGTGAAAACTCAGAGTCCTGAGGTCTGTCATATCGGCGGCTGTTAAAAGCCTCGATGTTGGCCCTCAGGGTGCATTCTTCTGCTTGGAAGTCCCATGGCCTGGCATCGATGTCTGGTGGGAGGAGAGGAGAAAGATGTATACAACTTAGGACGCTGCTCCCCTTACCCCAGAGCATGGTCTAAGGACACCAACAATGGAACTGTTCAGAATTTCCTTTTCTGTAAATTTTTAAAACATGCAATGTTTTGGCCCTAGCTGGTTTGGCTCAGTGGATAGAGCTTCGGCCTCCAGACTGGAGGGTCCCAGGTTTGATTCTGGTTCAGGACACATGCATGCCCTGGTTGCAGGCTCAATCCCCAATAGGGGGTGTGCAGGAAGCAGCCAACCAACGATTTTCTCTCATCATTTTTGTTTCTATCTATCTCTATCCCTCTCCCTTCTTCTCTGAAATCAATAAAAATATATTTTTTTAAAAAATAAAGGGATGTTTTGGAAAGAGGGTAATTATCTCTCAGTTTATTTAATAAAATGGATTTTCATAGGGTGGGGTATATGCTGGACTGGAGCAGTGCCTTAAAATCTGTTACATCAGCACCTAACCTATAATCACATATTTTCTCATCCAAAATATGCAACAATAAATGCCACGAGAATAGAGTAAACGTTTATTTAGTTTTATTTAAACATCAGGCAACTCCTGGCTGTCAAGAGCGCTGAGAGTACTCACCGTTCCCGTAAGCCCAGTCGTCATTCATGCGGTGGCGCACTTTCTGGTAAATGGCCGACATGGTCTTCATGTTGCTTTTCCTCCACTGGCGCCCCAGGTACTTGGTCTGTATTTTTAGCAGCTTCAGGACATAGAGTTGCAGCATGGCCTGCTTAACCTTGAGGGCCCGCTTTAAGATTGGAGCAGATTTAAACACCACCAGCATCTGCTCGTTTAAAGAGGAATGAGAGTGAAGAAAGACAGATAAAAATATAAAGTTAACTTGGAGTTTCAACTCAGAGACAAATTAAGCTAAACCTCCTTCATTTGGAGGGCTATAAATATATATGCTGACCTGAGATTACCCCGGGGAGCTTTTGGAAATCTCTAGTCCAGGCTCCACCAAGGAGGTCACTCCATTTATAGTTCACAATGGAAAGTTTCTGGTATCTGCCTCATTCTTTTTTGTTATATAATATTCTATTATAAGGATACACCATAAGTTATTTAGCCAGTTGGTCCTGTATTAACGAGCATTTAGGTTGTTTCTAATCTTTTGTAATTACAAACAATGCTGCAATGAATAACCATAGAGCTGCATCGTTTGCGATTTGTGACTATAACTCAAATATAATGCTAACTTCCCTACCAGAGCTGCCCTGAGGGAGGATCCACATCCAGTCTCTAAAAATAAATGTAAATACTTCTCTCATATAGAATAAATTACCGGAATTGGGAGGGACAAATCTTTTTTTTTTTTAAATATATTTTTATTGATTTCAGAGAAGGGAGAGGGAGGGAGAGATGGAAACATCAGTGATGAGAGAGAATCAATTGATCGGCTGCCTCCTGCACATCCCCTACTAGGGATAGAGCCTGCAACCTGGGCATGTGCCCTGACCAGGAATAGAACCTCCTAGTTCATAGGTCAACACTCAATTACTGAGCAACATTGGCTGGGAAGGTGGGGCTAAATCTTACATAGCATTCAGTGTCTATCTATAGAGCTTATAAAGCAGGAAGTCCATACAAATTAACTGAAGATTTCAAAAAACTCTGTGAGATGGACACCTCCATGATCAGAAGTCCCACTCACCATGGTTCTGGAATGCTTCCATTTGGTCAGCTTATTGAGCAGCCTCAGAAGGTTGATGCAGGAAAAGAGGTTCCTCCAGCAGAACTGGTTGTTGTCTCCAGCTTCCTGTAATAAGGCATGCCCACCATAATCTCAACACCCATAAGACTTATTTCACTCAACACCCATAAGCCTGGAAGTCACTGTTGGTCGATTTAGATGAGGCCTTCCATATAAAATGCTACCTCCTCACTATCCTGCTTTTCACACACTGAGGCCAAAACATGTAATGTCTTTCATCTGGTTAGAAACATTATACACAAACATAGGAACTTCATTCAAGCAAGCTTTCTTGTGTAGCTTTCTAATTTAGTATCAGAGAAGAGTTTCTTTTTACCCCATACACTGTGCACTTATATAAGCTATGTTTGTAACTGCCAGACTTATTCTGGTAGATTTCAAAGTATGTTGGATGGGTCTGGTATTCATTGTGGTTGGGTTCTAAATATCAATTCACCCTCCTTTATCAAACCATAATGCAGCAAGTTGCTTAATTCTCCAGCATGGAAGAAAAAAATGGCAGATGGTTAATGCTAACCAGGTGTTTCTCTGGCATGTTTCTTAATATCTTGTGAGCACCCAACAAGAAGTAACAGATGGATGTCAGATTAGAAACAGGTATATACTCATAGAAACATCATTCAGGGACAAAAATAGAGTCCTTATGGATTTGGAGGGCTTTAAATATATACTGCTGACAGAAGCTATATAAATTAATGAGTATGCATGATGGCCAAACTAACATCTTGGAAATTCCTCATGTCTACGAAGTGATAACATAATGTAGGAGTAGAAGATTATAGACGTGAACTGTTGTCTGGTAAATGTGAAATTACCTCTCCTCTCCCAAACTGATTTGAAGCAAACAAATGTAATACATGTAATGTGGACTGAACATCCAAGATTTTTGAGTGTATTAGGCTCATCTAAGATGTACATAAAACTACGGATCAAAAAGTTTCAGGGAAGGGTCAATGTGGGGAGAAGAGGATATATGTAATACTTTCAACAATAAAGATTTAATTTAAAAAAAAATTTTAGGGAGCCCTGGTTGGTGTGGCTCAGTTGGTTGAGCATTGTTCTATGAACCCAAAGGTCCCTGGTTCCATTCCTGGTCAAGAATTTAATTAATTGAGCCTAAAAAAAGATATAAATCTTACTCATATAAATATTAGTCTTTTCTGAATATAGAAACCATTAGTTTAGACAAATAAACCATTACATTGAGCGTAATGTGGCGTAAACTTGGCTAGTTACTTAAGCCTGTTTACATAGGTTCACACAAATACAAAACAAACTGTGGTTACCAACTGAGACCACCAGGTGCCACTGTTGCTTCATAGAAAGGAGATGAAATACCTAACATGAACTTGTATTATTATTAAGACTAGACAAAGCTTTCATCCACTCTTGCATAAAAATGAAGTCTTCTCAGAAGCATTACAATTAGTTAAATAATTTTATGCTTATATCCTAAAAGGTCATTCTGAAGAGATACAGAGAACACATTGTACCAAGAAACAGATTCAGGTCCTGGCAGTTGTGGCTCAGTTGTTTGGAGCATTGTATTGTACACCAAAAGGTGGCATGTTCGATTCCCAGTCAGGGCACATACCTGGGCGGGTTTAATCCCTGGTGGGGATATGTATTGGACACAACTGATCAGTGTTTCTCACATCCATTACAAAAAAATAGATTTAGGTCATAAAAGCTGACTATTTTCAAATATCCTACTAACAGAATTTTAATGTTATCCATGTTCCACTTTCTCATTTCAACTTTGAATGGCAGGGAAGCAGGTCTCTATCCTCGCTCTGCTACATTCAACTGTAAAATTTTGGCCGTTACTTATCTTTCTATCCATAAAACAGTAATACCAACCTCACAGTTGTTTTAAAGATTGAATAATGTCATGACCATAAACAAGGTTAGACAACTTATTACCTCTCTCTGCAAGGGTAAGGAGCTCCTCTTGGCTGCTTAGATCTTACCACATCTAAGTAAGACAGAATTTCTGCCCTGGTGCCAAAAGGATGCTAGACTTAGTGTCTCAGGACATGGGTCTTTCTCTAATTCAGGGTCTGTCATGAATGAAGCATGAACCATGAAAAGTCATTTTATTCAATCGACATTTCTCATCTTTGAAATAGAGGTTTGGGCCAAATAGCTCTCAGGTCCCCTCCAAGCTAAAAATCTATAAAACCTGTACCACGGAAGGTATCATTCTATTTTTACATAATAGACTTTTTTTTAAATATATTTTTTAAATTTTATTGATTTTTTACAGAGAGGAAGGGAGAGAGATAGAGAGCTAGAAATGTTGATGAGAGAGAAACATCGACCAGCTGCCTCTTGCACACCCCCCACCGGGGATGCGCCCGCAACCAATGTACATGCCCTTGACCGGAATCGAACCTGGGACCTTTTAGTCCGCAGGCCGACGCTCTACCACTGAGCCAAACTGGTTTCAGCTTACATAATAGACTTTTAAAAAATATATTTATTGACTTCAGAGAGGAAGGGAAAGGAAGAAATAAAAACATCAATGATGAGAGAGAATCATTGATCAGCTTCCCCCTCCCGCCACTCCCCCTTTCCCCTCACTGGGGATCGAGCCTGCAGCCTGAGCATGTGCCCTTGAATTGAACCTGGGACCTTTCAGTCCGCAGGCCAATGCTCTATCCACTGAGCCAAACCAGTGAGGACCAAAATAGACTTTTTGATGCAACATTTTGCAGGTATTAAAATTGGGGTTGTGGCACACATGTGTGCTGTCATCTGACCACTTAGCACTTGTTGAGCTCCTTCTATATACCAAACGTGGTGCTAGACTCTGGTGATATAAAAATGATGATAATTCTATCTCTTATTTCAAGGACTTTTCAGTCAAATGGAGAAACTGATACAAATTCCAATGCAATGGGGTGAGGGTAAGGACTGAGGAATATCTAAGGAGCTGTGGCAATACATGGTGAGATAGACACTTGGTCTTCAATATGCTATTCATCAGTCAGTTTCATGGAATTAAGAATAACTCTGAGGGCCTTGGCCCGATTGGCTCAGTAGGTTAGGTATAGTCCCATGCACCAAAAGGCCCCTGGTTTGATTCCCAGTCAGGGCATATGTCCGGTTGTGGCCTTCATCCCTACTAGGGGGCATGCAAGAGGCAGCCTACCCATGTTACACTGTCACATCAATGTTTCACTCTCTCTCCCCCTCCTCCCTTACTTTCTCTCTAAAAATCAATTTAAACATGTATATTTTTAAAAAGAATAACTCTGAGGGACTTTTCTGGCTTGCCTAGAGCTGTTTCCAGGATGAAGAATTTTCTGGGTCATCCTTCTGTGGCTATATTGACTTTTGCCTCAGAGACGTAGGCAGGTATTTTCCGAAGTACCACTCCTGGGTTTTATAACCCGTATGGAAATGAAAAATGAATGGCCTGCGACACAGCAGAAAGGCAGATAATTATTTGGGATGACCAGAAGAAATTCTCCTGCCATTCTGCGCAGATGTTCACGTTCAGTTTCATCCTAATTATTGTCCTAAAATTTCCTCTCCTCCTTAGTGTTCTTCACTGACCCTTTTCTTGACAAAATGCTACATACAGCTTTTCCAAACTATTCTCAACTGGGTCAGCAGATCTAAACCCCTCCTGGCGCTGTGCTATTGCTAATATGCCTTTATAAACCTGAGACTCCCAAACCAGGGCATATGGAGTTAGAGAAGCAATGGAAGAGCAAGTGCCAGCCTCTGCTACTTGGCATTTCAAAGGCTACCGAATCCGCATCTGCTTACCAGACTCTCCGTAGTCAGTTCTGGCAAATCCTGGATGGTACAGCAAGGGTAATCCAGGACCGAGATGCTGCAAGATGCAGAGATAAGGACAGGCTTTAGGTAAATGGCAATGGCAGGAAACAGCTGTATGATAAAGGGCAGGGGTTATTTCTCTCCAGCAGGCCCTATCTATTTCCCAAATTGCTTAGAGACCTTAGCTGAAACTGAGGGCTTTGGTGCCAGGCAACTCCAGCTCTAGTCTCCTCACCTCACGGAGAGGAACTAACAGAGAGGAACTAACAGAGTGCTTCCAGCTGGCCCCCATCTGGCAGAGGCAAAAGAGAGCAGAGAGAGAGCTCGGGATAGCCACCTCTCTCCTTCCTTCTTTAAGGGAATATGTAAACTGGTCGGATTTGAGTTTCTGTATTTAAGTATATGCTTGTGTATATGTGTGAATGTAATGGTGCTCCCAGAGATGCTGCTGCAACTTATTGCACTTAACAAATTGTGAACGTGAAGATGCAACAAAGACTTCTGTGTCTCTTTCTGAAAGCCAGGAGCTCTAGGGAATAATCACATAAGCTACCCCTCCAGGAAGCTGGAGACAGGCAGCATCCTACAGCAGGGCCAATGTAGTAGCTCAAGAATGGTAACAGCATCTGCCTCCATGGGAGCTGGAGGCTCTGAGGTGAACCCAGGGAAGCAGGAGAAATAAGGCACCACACGATGACAGGAAGTCCCTTAAAATGACAGCTCTTTCCTTCCTCTTCTCCCTTCTTCATTAGTACAATGCAGAATTAGGTAATCTCTGATACTTCTGGTTGGGACACTCCATGAGGTTTATACACCAATCTTGCCCTAGCCTGTGTTGCTCAGTGGTTGCTCAAGAGTGTTGCCCTGGGGACCAAAGGGTCACAGGTTTGATTCCCGGTCAAGGGCACTTACCTGGGTTGCAGGTTCGATCCCCAGCCCCAGACATCTCACATCAATGTCTCTTTCTCTCCCTCCCTCCTCCTCTCCCTTCCACTCTTTAAAAATCAATAGAAAAAATATATCTTTAGGTAAGGATTAACCAAAACAAAACAAAATTAAAAAACTACCAATCTATCTGAACTAATGCAGTTGGAAATACATAAAAGACGTTGCAAGCAGGGGCTACAAAGAAGAGTATGGGGTTTCTTGGACCTGTCTCTATTTCGAAAGTCAAACTCTATCTAAACAAAAGGCAGCAATTTATCCCACTAGAAATGTTTGCCTTTGTCCAGGAAACACACAAAGATAGCCTAGGAAACAAAGGGAGGAGAGGAGGGGTCAATGGCTCTCTCTTCAATGTTACTCATCATCTTAATTCACTCTACTAGGTTCTCCCAGGGTTGCCAGTTCTCTGCTGCTCCTTTAGGAAGAACATTCTGGGCTGGTTTATCTGGGGATATGCCTGCAACCAAGGTACATGCAACCAAGGTACATGCCCTTGACCGGAATCGAACCCGGGACCCTTCAGTCCACTCAGCTATCCACCTCCCACTGACAAAGCCCCATGGCAAAGTAGGTGCTGGTGACCTTCTGGGGGCGGGAAATCAAAGATGGATTTATTCTAATCTCAATGAATTGAATTCTAGCCTAAAGGGGAATAAAAGAAAGTTACAAGTTTCTACAATATCTAGCGTGTAAGAGCCACAAGGAAACTGCAATAATGAGCTGTGGGTGCTCCAAGTTTCTCAGGGATTATGCAATAGTGAAGTATACCATGGGTGATAAACAGGAACACCATCTTATCCAGGCCAACCTTAGCAAATGGCATAGTCTGGCTCTATCACTCTTTCAACTCCAAATGATCTCGATGGGCACATATTGGATTGTTGGCCCCTCCTCTGCTAGGCCCAGGAGTGCATTTGGCTCCTGAACCCAACTTCCCAGCCTCAACTGATTGATCCAGGGGCAGACCTCTAACCCTGGGAATGTGGAACAAGGATTGAGAGCCGATTCAGTCTGAGTGGCATGGGGCAGGACATGCTGAGCTCGTGTGGGCATATTTCACTGGGAAACAGACACTACTACCGTGTTTCCCCGAAAATAAGACATCCTCCGAAAATAAGACCTAGCACATGGAAAGATAAGACATCCCCTGAAAATAAGACCTAGCGCAACTTTGGGAGAAAAAATTAATATAAGACACTGTCTTATTTTCGGGGAAACAGGGTATCTACAAGTAAGAGAAGACACTGGAGTGGAGGTACAGGGGCTTGGTGTCATAGCGAGAGGAGGAGGACTTCCTGGGCTCTCTATACTATAGACCAACCAACCCTGGGGCTCAGAGCTACATCCCTGTCCTAGGTTCCTCAAGATGATCTACCTCCCATTTCCTCCCAACAATTTACTCCTATGCGTGAACCAGGTCTAGCTGGCTTTACTTACTTACAAGTAAAAAGGTTGACTGATACACAGGGGTGCCTTCATGAAGCTGTGGCCCCTACCTAGCCCAATCTACACTTCCATTTTTCCTGGTAATTCAACTAGCAAGTCTTAGTGTTGGTTTTATTTTTTGTTAATCCTCATGGAAGGATATTTTTCTTTTTAAAAAAATATATTTTATTGATTTTATACAGAGAGGAAGGGAGAGGGACAGAGAGCTAGAAACATTGATGAGAGAGAATCATCGATCAGTAGCCTCCTGCATACCCCTCTCCTGCGATGTGCCCGCAACCAAGGTACATACCCTTGACCGGAATCGAACCTGGGACCTTTCACTCCACAGGCTGATGCTCTATCCACTGAGCCAAACTGGTTTCGGCTGAAGGATATTTTCCCATTGACTTTTATAGAGAGTGAAAGTGAGGTGGAAATACAGAGAGAAATATCCACATGAGAGGGACACATTGATTAATTGCCTCCTGCACATACCCCAACCAGGGCTGAGGATTGAGCCTGCAGCTGAGGTTCATGCCCTTGACCGGAATCGAACCTTGGACCTTTCAGTCTGCAGGCCAATGCTCTATCCACTGAGTCAAATCAACTAGTGCTTAGTGTTATTTTTAAGGTGGCCAGTGCATAAGTCTCCTGTAGTTAGAAAAAAAAACAAAACCAAAAAAATCCTGAATTCTCCAAGGCTTCCTTCAAATAAGAAAAAGTATTTAAATCACTCTGATATATATTTATCTTAACTAATGCTTATAAAAGCTCTATGATTCAGTCAGAAGAGGTATTATTTTCATTTTAAAGAATGAAATACTGTGGCTCAGAGAAATAAAGTGTCTTACTTGAGATTACATAGCTAGCAAATGGCAGATCCAGGCCGGGAATGAAGGTCTCATGACTTCAGGTTCTGTGTGAGTGTGTTTGTGTGTGTGTGTGTGTGTGTGTGTGTGTGTGTGAGCGTGTGTGTGTTTTAAACTATATATAAGTAAGCTGCCTCTCCATGGAGGAATTTCAGGCAGTACTGACATACTGGTGAGGCACCATCTCCTATCCCCTCTCCAGTCAGTCCAAGTAATCCGCCTTCTACTTTAGAAACTTTGCCTCTATTAAAGCACTTCTGGTAGACTCTACTGGTTCACAGGCTTCCAGTTCTCATGGCAACAGCAAAGTAAGGAACAAGGATCTGTTCTGTGACCTTCCCCTTTCTGCCATGTCCCCACGTGGCTGGAGGAGTGGAAAGCAATTTGTATTCACAATTGTGATCCGAAAGCAATTTGTGTTCTGATCCTGTCTTTGCTGCTTACTTAACAAGTCTCACTAGCATGTTAATCTTGAGCAAGTCAATTAGCCTAAGTTGTTTCCTAATTGGTGAAATGAGAAATAAAACTTGTTGTAATACCACTTAGGACTGCTTTGGAGAGTAAATGAAATAATGGATAGAAAAATAATCTAATTTTAAAAATTACTAATTGATCTATTTATTATTTTTCAGTTACAAATTCTCTATAACACTTTACAGTTTACAAAGTAGTGTAACTAATCCAACTTATGATTTATACTAAGATTGGGACTGGCCAGACAAGCTATAAAGCTGAAATTTCACCGTTGTAGTTTTATTACTTTGAGTCATGACATTTTTCAGTTTTTAAAATTTTAAAAATACATATATCTTTGTGACGAGGCCAAATCATATACCCCAGCAGTTAACACTTCAAGGAAATTAAATAGTAATAGCTCTAAAACAGAAGGAACTTGGGACACCAGAACTGACAGACTCAGAAACAATGTAATTTTTCTCAATCATCCCAAACTAGCCCTTTTGAAGTAAAACAGTCCAGAGTCCATACCTGTTTTTAGCAGTGATGTAGGACAAAATATTTTGATTGAAGAATTTCAGGATCAATGGAATGCAGTTGGCAAATACCAAATGTTGTGATACATATTCAAACTGAATTAAAAGATCAAAGTGGAAAGGGCTGCTTATTTGGGGTAGAAAAAAGGATCTGTATGAAAAACAAGCTAATATAAATCCAATATCCATTCCTAACGATATCCACTGACCGCCTGTGTTACCAGTCTTTCTACCTGGGGAGGGGGGAATCATCTCCAGCTCGCCATCCATCCTGCATGGAGGGGGACAATCTGCAGTGTCATAATAGGCTGCAAACTCTTAACCAAAAGCACACAACGTAAACCAGAAAGAAAGCCCTATTACAGATCAGCAGAACTGCTGTGAGATTTGCTCTAAGCTCAACAGGAAAGGAAGGCAACCCTGAGGGAGCTGTCTTCCACACCGAAGCCCTGGCTCACAGTGTTCAACTGTGACTGATACAGCAAGGACAGGTGCAACTCACCCAGCAACTGCTGGCATCACTCAGCCGGCATGGAGACAACACTTAACCAAATGGACCACTGGAATGTGGGCTCCGGTGCCAGTCTGTATGGTTCCCTGTACTTAGAATATCATATTGTAATGGATGAATCAACAAGAGCCCTTCAGTCAACAGATACTGCACGGAGAATAAGTCAAGGTTCTCTTTGATGAGCTTAACCCCACAGCACAGGGGCTTCATTTTGCTCTCCTGAATCTGGATGGGGTTTGTATCCAGGAAGACTTAGTGGAGACAGCTGCCACCAGGATTTTGCCCAAGATACACTGAAGAGCATCAGACACGATTTTCTCCAGATCTAGAACCTAGACTGCTAGGACAGTGCAGAAACTGAGTTGAAAAAGCAGAAAATTGTGCTGTTTTATACCCTCTATTTGTTCCTGATTACCAAAAAGTAGCCTTGGTAGCGAGCTACCAAGTGATGGAAAACTTTCTCCAGTTTTAGATGTTTCTGTAGCCTTGTCAAGATTCACTGACACTGACACACACTGGCAAAACCCATAAGCTACCCACCTGTCTGGCAGTTGATTCACCTACTGCTACCATGAGAAGCAAACAAGCACACATCCTCAATCCTCTGCCCCTCTACTAGGACCGCTATCTCCCACCAAGCCCAGCTCCTCCCAGCCCTGCTGCTGCTCCCACCACCCAGGACACGCTAACACACCTACAGATGTCTCTGAATGTACTAAACCCGCCACGGTCACAGACCCTGCAGGGCCTCCCCTGCACTCTGAGGACCTGCTCTTCCACCAGCAAGCTTGGGTTTGACTTCAGAGGAGGAAAATAGAGCAGAGTCTCTGCAGGAATGACAACCTCCTCTCCCCAGTGGTCTCAACACAGCGACCATCCACTCACTGCTTCCATCTTCCCCCTTACCTTGGCAAAGCTACAGAAGAACCAAGTCTAAACTCCTTAGCATGGCAAACAACACGCTGATGAGGAAACAGGTACTTAATAGCTGTGCACTCTCACGTGTGTTATTAGGTGCTCCCTGTTGTTCCCTCCAGCCTTAGGGACTTTCACAAATTAGCTTTTCTGCTTGAAGTGCTTCCTGTGCTCTTTCCTCAACAACATTGTGGCTAATTGCTCAACATTGTAGCTAATCTTTCTTTAGGACTCCGGTTGAAGTCACTTCACCTCAGGCTGGATTAGGCATTTCTCTACCAGCCAATGCTTAACTGTACTTACCACTCTACGATTGGACATTTATGTATCTGTATCCTTTACAAGACCTCTGAGCCCTTAAGAGCCAGAACTGTGCCTTATTCAGAATTATATCTCAAATGTTAGAAAGGTGCTTCACACATAGAAAACTATTCGCAACATGCTCCTCACTCCTCCTAACCCCTCCCTCATTTTTGTAGAATGCTGGAATCCTATCATCCATTGTTTTAAAGCTGGCCTAGCAGAGATTCCTACCCACAACCCTCAGATAATGTTCAAAGGACATAGACATCAACACCTTTCTAGAACAGCTCCCCACACCCCACACCATTATCTCCACCCCAAGCTTGTACAACAGCTACCAGTATTTTGATTCCCTGAGTGAGACAAAGAAAAGGCTGAAAGATCCTCAGCTGGATTACAAGGACCCCCGTGGCCCTTTAGGAGACAGCACCTAGTGGACACTAAGACCGTGGAGAAGCGCTCGCAGCTGCTCACCTGGTAGATGTGGTTCAGTTTGAAGTGCTTGAGGAGCAGCAGCAGCAGGGCGGAAATACTCTTCACAATGATCTCCTTGTGCCTGTTCACGTCGATGCCCAGCTTCATGCTCTGGAGAACAGTGACACTACGATAGGGATAGGAGGGGTCAATGCCAAGGGTGGCAGGAGAGCGCGGCTACATACATTCATATCTGGATCGGATATAATGTACACAGGAGAGCCAGAGCCTAGGAAACCCCAATTTCTGTGCTAGGGAAACCTCCAGTTCCTGCTGACAAGCCTGTCTGGAGAAAAGCTCCTCTGATCTTTGTTTCTCCCTCTCCTTTGGTGAGCTCATCCCTTGGTAATGTCCACCCACAAGCCTGTGCAGCCCGTCACTGGCACGCATACTGCCCTCCAGACCCTCCATGCTGAGCTAAAAAGAGCACAGCAGAGAGCGCAGCAGTGGAAAGGGGCTGCTGGTGGGGGAAGGGGGTCTCTTTGGAGATGATCCCTGTGTTAACCAGGTGGGGTGGGGACTAGAGACACCTCGCAGACAAGACAGCTAGTATCCAGCAGCTGCCACAGTGGAAGCACTCACGGCATCTCCTCAGGCAGGACATCTGCCAGAATATTGATAGAGTCTGTCTTAGCCTTGGAGGTGGGAGCTGCAGCCAGCAGAATCTTAAGCAGAGCAATCTGGAAAGTAGAAAAGGAGGAATCCATCCCATTCTACAAGGCTAGTTTCCAATACCTCCACAGTCCTATGAGAAGTGTTTTCAAGTCTTCCTCTAAGTCCTTCCCTCAATGACCAAATCTCCCCAGCCTCCAGAGGGGCAAGCAGGTGCCCAGTCCTGAGAGGCCTGCCTGTGAGACTCAGGAGCTAGAAGGGAGCTGACAAGCTGCTGTGCTTCAAGACTGCTCTTTCCAAAGAGGAAGATGGAAAAGGCAAAGTCAGAGGGACAATGCCTAGAAATAAAATGGGAGGTACAAGCAAGATTTCACTTCCTCTACCCTTTCCTTCCTCTCGCCCGGACCATCAGCATCATCACCATTTTTGGCCTGAGGCTATCTAGAACATGAGACCATAGCAGACCTCAGAGGGACTAGGGCCCCCAATACACCCTGCACAGATTCCCATCTCAATCTCTATGCCTTCACCAAGGCCTCCCCACCTCCCCCTTGCAGGAGTCCCGAGGAAAGCTCAGAAGTCTAAAGAGTTAGAGAAAGCCTTGACTGAGGAGTCAAAGCTCAGGAAACTAGCTGAAACGATGGATGTCAGCTGTTGAAATGACTCTCAGCTGTCTGTTCCTTAAAGCAAAGAAGGGCAACTTCTTACCATGTCCTTCCCCCACCATCTCTTACCATGTACTGGGGGAGGCTGTACAGCATGCCCTGGTAGAGGATTTCACATGGCGTCTCTGGTACAACCTCTTCCCCCTGTGGCAGGAAACACAGTTACACAGGCCATTTTCCAGTTGCCCAGAGGCTATGTGAGGTGTGGCATGAAAAGAGCACTGAGCTGGGAGTCCTAGGTTCTACCCTCGCTGTGTTGATGTTTCATTATATGACCTTGGGTAAGTTACTTTCCCTATCTGGGTCCTAATTCCCTCTTCTATCCATCAGTGGGCTGGGTTGGATGACCTCTGAGGGCTCTTCCAGCCCTAACAAGCTATAATTCTGGTTTTCACATTATCTGGAGTCCATCCGAATTCTTTTTTCCATGTCCCAGCTGGATCAGTAGTCAAACTCCCAGCTAGGAGATGGCTCAGACACTGCTTTGCTGAACACATGTGGACTTCATTCAGGCTGCAGGTATGCCTGGGACACTGGGAACAGCCCACACAGAGCCACTTCCCAGGGTGTCAATCTGAGGCCACCTGAGAGCACTAATGCTCTGAAGCCAGAGGGAAAGGTAGGTGACTCAACAGAGAGGGTTAATAAGAGAGATGGGTAGCCTATGGCCTGGAGAAGCAGGAAGGACTACTGGCTGATAAGCTTTTGGGTATAAACTATTTTTACTCCTCTATTAGCCCCTACAATATCCCTTTCTCCTTTCTGACCAGCCCCCTCATGCACAACTCTCTCCGTCCTTTTGATGACCCCATCTAAGCCTTTTATCAGAGTATGGAGACAGAGACCTCCAGTGCTTGAGAGGCTACTTAAGGCCACTGTCATCTTTAAGTAATGCAGTCCTTCCTCACCCAAGACCTGTCTATTACAGGGCAAGGGTCACTGCCATGAGAACCAGAGGTAGGTAACTAAGCCCCTTTCATCCCACACAACTCAGCTATGCTTACATAAGCAAAAGTCTTAAATGGGCATTCAGTAAAGCCTGGTAATCCTATTTGCTTGCCTTCTGCTATCCAAAAGGCCTATTTCACATCTCCTCTTCCTCAAATCAACCCCCTTGCCCCACAGTCCCTTCAGAGTTGCTCACCCTGCCTCATACTTCATGGAGAAAACAGAAGCAACCAGACAGGCACACTCTCATCTTCTCTTTGCCAAATCTACCGAACCCCTGTGCTCCTATGACAGGCCAGCCCTCCACTTGTGTTTAGAATCTCACACTCTTTTCCTTTGTCAAACATAGCAGTTCTGTATGTATCTCCTCCCTCCTGGATCATATCTTTGGGATGTAAACACACTCTAGTGTCACCTAGCTATAAAACATTTTCCCTTGACTACACATCCTCCTTCAGCTGCCACACTTGTTCTATTACCCTGTTTCCCTGAAAATAAGACAGTGTCTTATATAAATTTTTTCTCCCAAAGTTGCGCTAGGTCTTATTTTCAGGGGATGTCTTATCTTTCCAATGCGCTAGGTCTTATTTTCGGGGAAACACGGTATCCTCACAATAAAACTCCTGTGTTGTATATGTCAATTGTTTGCTTCCTTTTGTTACATTCATTTTCCAACACACCAAGTAGCCTTCTAGCCCCACCACTTCACTGGAGGTCGCTCTTTTCAAGGTTATCAGTTTTCTTCATGTTGCCAAATTCAATGGACACCTTGTTCTTATTAGGCACCATTTATCAGCAACATTTGACATAGAAGATCACTCCATTCTTTAAAAAACAAAACAAAACAAAAAAACCACACCATATTTTTATTTATTTCAGAAAGGAAGGGAGAAAGAGAGATAGAAACATCAATGATGAGAGAGAATCATTCATTGGCTGCCTCCTGCATGGGAATCGAGCTCACAACCTGGGCATGTGCCCTGACCGGGAATCGAACCATGACCTCCTGGTTCATAGACTGAAGCTCAACCACTGAGCCATGCTGGCCAGGCCACTTCTTCTTAAAATATTTTGTTTTCTTAGCTTTTATGGTAGCACAACATCCTGGATTTCCTCCCACCTCCCTGAGTGTTTTTCTTACTCTTCTTTGTTGGCACCTTTCCTGGCTCATCCCACCTTCAACATTTTGGTGTGTCCCAGCGTTTTGTCCTGAGTTTAGTCCTCTTTTCTATATCTACCCCCTCCCTGGGTCTTCTCAGCCAGTTCTATGGCTGTTAACATTGTCCAAGTCAACAGTTTCCAAATTTACTTCTCTAGGCTAGACCTCTCTCCAGAACTCTAGACCCATATATCTAATCACTTGGTTGCTCTACATGAGTGTCTAAGGATATTTAAAACTTACTACGACCAAAATAGAACCATTGATAAAACAGAACTCCCATCTTGGCAAATGGTACTTATTCTCAATTCCTCTTTTTGTCTCTATCCACATCCATTTGAACTGCAACGCTTGTCAGTTATACCTCCAAAATACATTCCAAATTCATTCACTTTTCTCTATTCCAGCACAAGTCACCACCTCTCACCTTGACTATTGTAATAGATTCCTAACTGACCTTCCCACTTCCACTCTTTCCTGGTCCAGTCTTTACACAGCAGCCAATGGTTTCTTAAAAGACAAACCAGATTTATATTTTTTTATCCCCTATTTAACATCTCCAAAGGTTTCCCTTTGTATTGGGAATCAACTTTAAGCTCCCTGTTTGTTACAGGTCCTGCATAAAATTGGTCCAAACCATCTCCAACAAGCCCACCCCTCCCATGCTCCAGTGGGCCCACCACCTGAAAGGCCTTTTATTCACTACTAGAGGCCTGGCTCACGAAATTCGTGTGCAGCTACAGTCCCTAGGCCTGACCTGAAATCAGGGCTATCTTCCCAGGCGGCTCTGCCACCCACCCCGGGGTCTCAGTTAGCCATCGGGCAATTGGAGCCTGCCAGTTGGGGGGAGGGGCAGTGGGTGGGAGGAAAGGGATCAAGAAATTCATTGGTAGGCGCCAATCAGGTGATCAGGGCCTACAGGCTGAGGGCAGCTCCTACATTGAACGTCAGGCACCTCCCCCCCCCCCCCCCCCCCCCCCCCCCCCCCCCCCCCCCCCCCCCCCCCCGTCCCCGTCAGTGTACTTCATAGTGACTGGTCATTCTGCCGTTCAGTTCATTTGCATATTACCCTTTTATTATATAGGATATCTAATGCCCTGAGCTTTGCTCTCACATAGTTAAAAGCTGTTCCCTATGCTTGGAATGCTCTTTCCCCTGATATTTCTTAAGAGTTTTACCTACCTTGACTATCCAATCTAAAGTAGTCAGTCATACTAGTATAATTCTACTTAAATTTTCTTTAACATGTTGTGAAATTAGGGACCTTGTCTTGCCTGGCACATAGTAAGATCCTCAAAACATGCACACATGCTCTGTGAGAACACTGCAAACATATTCCTCTTGCCCTCTTCCTGTGCAGGACTCTTTTTAACTCACCAGAGACATGGGGCACTTCTCCAGCTCCTCCTCATTCTTGATCTGAACATCTGCGATGGAGATGTATTTGTGCTGGGGAAGATAAGACATCAACAAGGGGCTGAGGGCCTCAGTCTCATATGTACCAGCCTATTGCTTTCACTTCCTCAACGACAAGGAACATGTCCTACTTATGGATCTTTCATCCCAAATAGGCCATGAGCTATTTGAAGGCAGGAGTCTGATTTGCACCATTAACACTGAGCAAAATATTTCATATACAGTGTTTGTTTGTCCCGTGTTTCCAAATTGTTGAAGAGCAGCAAAAATCTAAGCATTTACCTTCAACCAGCCAGGAACTGGCCCTTGCCCCTGGACCACTGCCCAGAGGTTTCTGCTGCATGTGTACGTGTACATGGAGTGATGATGATGATGGGGTAGGGGAGGATTCAAGGTCTGTGTATCTTAGTCTTTGTGCTCACACACTTTAGATGCAGAGTAGTAGCCTGCTACTCGATCCTGAACCTTTGGAAGTTAGTCGTTAGAGGGAGAGAGAAGTGAGAGGAAAGGAAGGAAAGAATGAAAAGAGAGAGAGAAAGGTAGAAGGAGGGAAAAGGAATGAGAGGAAGAAAGAATAACTTTCTCATCTATCTGAATATAGAAAACTGGTAAGTAGGGAGAGGCCCGATTTCTTCCACTTTGGCCAAAACGCCTTCAGGGAAATGTAGAATAATAGATTCAGAATGTTTCTGGTAGAAGAGTACTACCCAGTACGAGGACCCCACTAATCCAACTTGCCTTGATGGCTCACTATCCCTGAAGACTGAGTGCCCACCCTGGTCACCTGCTTTAGGGTCTTCACACTCTCATGGATGGGCCTGGGTAATCCAACCAAGGTATCTGTGTCCCTGTGAAATGCAAGACACACTAGATAAGCTTCAGAAGTATAAAGAACTGCTCATTCCCCCTGGAGTCACATAGACCATGCCACTTTCAGCTTCCAGGTCCCCTATGATTGCTTTAGGACACAGAGAATTACAGAAACTTTTTGAAAATTAGGATTTCTGTCTGGTCCTTTAAGGACTCACTTTGCAGATAGCCCAATGTCACTTTTGACTGAAATACCAATAACCATGCCTTCTCAGGTTTTGTAGAGGCCAGTGGGAAGGATTCATGAGGGTAGGGAGATGGGGAGAAAGACTAAATCTGTTCTGACCGTGTCTCTTCTTCACAGAATCCTGGCTCACTGGAGTAGGTAGGGCTGCTAGAGACTCATAATCCAACGCTCTTATGAGGAAATTGAATCCCAAGAGGGACATGACTTGTTGCTCAAGGCCCTACACTGGCCAAAAGTGTAACAGTTCTCCTAAGAAACTAGAAGGAAAAATTCCATGGGAAGAACCCGAAGTAATCACTGGGAGCTGCCCATGCCTAATAGTCTAGGTTGTATCGTGACGACCCAGCAACATTTCTCATTCCAAGCCACCACTCCGGCCCCATAAGAACCACTCTATAGCCATTCTGACGATTTGGTCACTTACTGCCCCAGAGTGAATCCGATGAACTTGTTCCTGCTTAGCTCCAAGAAGTGCTCAATGTCCTTCTGTCTGAGAGGATGGTGGAGATGAACCCCAAAGAAGGGAAGAAAAGCAAACCTTGAGAGAGAGAACCTTTCTGGGCTCCTGCCCCTCCAATTGGAGGACTGGGGCATTGGGGGAAGAGAGTAGCCAACAGAGAACTTCAAACCTAGGCGTTCTGACTCTCAGACCAGCTAGCTTATTGTGCCTTTCACACAAAGACCCCTCCACCCTGGGTCTTCAATGACAGAAACCCCAAAGTTCAGGGTCCCTATCTTTCAAACCTACCTGACCTTTGGGGCCCAGGGTAGGCCCTTGGGAAAAGCCATCCGCTCAGCGGAGAGGGGTGCCTGTGAAAGTGGAGGTGGTACCAGAGGGTCCTGTTCTAGCAGGTCTAACTCTCCGTCCAAGGTTCGTTCTCCATCGCCAGCAGACTCCTCTTCCTCTTCTGTGGCTGGTTCCTCAGTCTTAAAGAGATCTCTTTCATTGTAAATGTCCAGGCTGTCCTGCTTAGTAAGGAGTTGCTGGGTGGGGGAAGGAAAGTATGCAGAGATCTCACCCTGGGCATCCTTGTCTGAGGTCACCCCCTCCTCACAGGCTGTTAGAATTCAGGAAACATGGAATAAGCACCCAGCTCTTGTGAGAAAATCCACTTCCAACTTCAACTCTATTGTCCCCACCAGGCCCGATCCCAGGACAAGCAGCTCTCAGACAATCAAGCCAACGGACAGGGCACAGAGCTCAGATAACCCCCAAGTCATAACTACTTAGCTTTCAGAAAGAACTGATGCCATTTTTTTTTTTTTTTTTTTTTTTTACCAGCACTTTCCTTCCTAATTATGCTTTGCTTAAGTGAACATTCAATTAGTTTGCCTTCTGTGGGCATACACCAGCTGGCTGACTGAGGAAGAAGAAAAACAGAAGCTTGCTGCTAAGCAGAGGAAAGCGAGTTTGGAATTTTAAATTTTGTCACACAAAGAAAAAGAGTGGACAGAAATAGGCCAAAAAGTTAACAGTTACTGCCTCTGGTTGTTAAGACTGTGGGTGATTTTTTTTTATCCCTTCTTCTCATTTTATTTTTGTTCCAAATTTTCTATAATGAGTAAACATTACTTTATAAAAAAAAAATCAAGGTTAAAAAAAATCTCACTGAAGATAATAGGCTAGATAACTGAGTGTGACTGTCTGGTCCTGACACCTATAGTTGGTGAACTCAGGGAGATCACACAAATGAGTTCATGGGAACATGGTCTCAGTGCACCTTGTCATTTTGACCTTCCAGAGATGGAGACTATACCTAAAATCCTAACCTGTCCTCTCCCAAATGTAAGCCTTTCGTTCTGGGGCCAGACAAAAGTATGGTTGATTCAGAGTAAGCCTTTTTTGCTGCTGAGAAAATAGGAAAGTGCCACACATCCAGTACAGGGATTTTCTAGGACATCTGTTCAGGTGCTTTGGGTCCTTATACCCTAACCTAACTCTTGTTCTGGGACCTAAAGAACTACAGGTGCTGAGATCCAGGTCAATGACCCTGTGGCAAGACCTGGATCTGTAAGGCAATATCACAATGTTATATCATGATAGTGCAGGCATCTGTCAGGACTGGGGAATAGAAGCCAAAGTACAGACTGTAAGGTTTCAGGTTGGTCACAGGGCCAGCCAGGGGCAGGATGAGCTGGGTCATTTACTGCCCTTTCCTCCTGCATCCAAAGTAGCTTAGAATCTGGATTTTCGGACAGCTAGTGTCCCACTGTCAGTTTTAGTGCATACCCTTCTAGAACCACGGCGGCCTCGCAACTTGGAAGGTGGTGGTGCCAGCTGAGATTCCCCCAGGTCCAGAGTGTAAGAGGGCGGGGAGGCAGCACGCATGCTCTTCACCACCTGGATACTGTCCTCTGCCAGTGGCGGCAGACCCAGTTCTGCCCGCTTCTGTACTTTGAGAGCCTGTAGATGCTCAAATCCACCGAGGGTGAACTAAGGGGTAAAAAGAAAAGGGGCAGAGAAGAGAGGGGAAGGGAGGGAAGTCAGAGAGAGCAAAGACAGGAAAGCATGGGTGAAGAGGAATAGCCACCACCTCCAGGCCCCCTCGAACCCTGGATTAATTAGTAATAAAACAGGAAGGGGCAAATGTGGTTACTAGCCCAGTCTGAGGAACTCAGGCATCAGGATAAAGCATTATTTACTGACTCAGGGTTGGACATATCACCAGAAATTAGGAAAGGGACTCCTAGGGGCCTCCACTAAAACAAACAAACAAACAAACAAAAAAAACCAAAAAAAAACAAAAAAACACACAAACAAACAGGAAAATGTATCTCCTTCTTTAAGAAACATGTCCAGATGCTAAACCCAGTCCTCAATTTCCTCTGCAGTTGACGGGGAACTGCCTCTTGAAGTTGGGGAACTTTAAGAGGCAGTTACCCCTATGAAGCCAGTCCTGTGGGGTGAGAGCCAGAGCTGAAGGATCAGGTTGAATAATTAGTAACAAAACTACAACCATACATTTATAAGGACTTCATTTTTATCTGGACGGAGGGCAGCTAGAGAAATTGAGGCACAGAGAGTTGCCCAAGATTGTCAGTATGAGCAGAGGCCAGATTTCCCAACTCAGCAGTGTTTTTTCCACAAAACATCAGTTCTATCAGGGGGAGATGCAATGATACCCCAGTTCACAGAGTGGCAAATCTTGTCAGTCCAATAGACACAGATAATCTGCTCTCACAGAGAACATCTGATTTCTCTAATAGCCTAGTTGCCCCTCCATTGGCTAACAGCTGCCCTAGTCTTCAGCCTAGCTCCTGCCTGCAGAATCAGAAGAGAAGAAACTGAGGTACAGAGGGCACTGCTGAGTTAGGAGGGAAGAGAATGAGCCACTCACCATGACCACCTTCCAGAGCAGAAGCAGGACCTTCTTTATGGGGAAGTGGGGAGCTAGGCCACTACAGAACTTGGTAACCATGGAGAAAAGCAGAAGGGCAAAAGGCTCCTCATTATGCATGGAGAAGCCTGAAGGGTGTGGAGAGAGGCAAATGAGAAATGAGAATGAGGTAACGGAAAACATGCCCCAGTAGTCCTGATTCTGGACACTCTCACCACCCCTAAAGAATTTGAGTACTGCCCGACAGGAGACCACATGGCTCAGTGGTGGAGGGTCAACCTATGAACTAGGAGGTCATGGTTTGATTCCCAGTCAAGGCACATGCCCAGGCTACAGGCTTGATCCTCAGTGGGGAGGGCATGCAGGAGCAGCTGATCAATGATTCTCAGCATTGATGTTTCTATCTCTCTCTCCCTCTCCCTTTCTCTCTGAAATCAATTTATATATATATATATATATATATATATATATATATATATATATATATATATATATATAAATTATTATTATTTTTAATTTGAGTCCTTGGTCCTGAGAAGGAGGCTTAGAGAGTCCCCAGAGGGAAATCCTTCAAGGGCAGGAAGTGAAGCCCTGTAGGTACATGGCTTACCTCCCAAAGCTTGGGTTAAAAGTAACAATAATAGAGATGTTACTTTATGGCTGAAGGATTCAATGCATTTGAGTCACTTTCCCACATCAATGAATATATTTTAAAAATCCTGTCAGCTTTCATATCTTATCCCTCTCTGATGACAACAACTTACATTTCAACAGAGTTCAGTTTTCAAGGTGATTCGACTCATTTTTTCATGTGGGATTCATGATAGAATGGAAGAGGGATACCTATCCCCATTTACAACCAAAGGAATTATGGTGTAGAGAGGATATTTGGTCTGAGCTCAGACACAGGGGCAATTAAGGCAGGCCCTCATGCCTGCTGTGCCGTATCTCTGTCCTAAAAGGATGTTAATGAAAAACAAAAAAAGAAAAGCTGCCTGTCTCTCTTGGGCAGATGCTAGGCTTCCCCTCCAGCGCCAGCCCCATCCTCGCCATTCCTTAGGCCACTTCTTACTCAGTTCAGTGCGGAAGGTCTCTCTGGCCGTCCTCCACCCACAGGAGTCTGTTTCTCGCTCCAGGCGGATATTTTCCACCAGTAGGTACAGGACACTCAGCAGCACCCTGGGGTTACAGAAGGATCACAAGAGGTGCCCGCCCGAGGCAGCTCCCAGCCTATAGTCAGAGACCTCAGTGATGGTCTCTGTGGGAGCCCAACCCAGTGGAATTAGCAACTTCTAGTGGTCTCGGAGCATCTGGAATTTGAGTCAAGAGTAACAACCCATTGCTAACCATCCCATTCCAATCCCATGGCTAGCCCCACTCACCGGAGCTCTGTGCTATCAGCAATGGAGATGGCTGGTTTTCGAACAGCAGTGCTACAGGCCTGGCTGTTGCTGCCGTGGGAAGGAGGGAGAAAATGAGAACCCATACGGCCTCTTTACTCACTGTGTTCCCACTGACCATACACACAAATACGAGTACCTGCTACTCCCTGGCTATATATCTATATGGGACGTACAGCAGGCAGCCAATCAATGATTCTCTCCCATCATTAATATTTCTAGCTATCTCTCCATCTCCCTTCCTCTTTGAAATAAATAAATAAAAATATATTTTTAAAAAAATAAATTGGTCTAAGGTAAAGAAGCCCATAGAATTCCTCTGTCACCTCAGCATAGGACATCTATGCAAAGGGCCCATCCCACTGTGGCTAGTACTGTGCTAGACACCAAATAGATGTCAAATGACACTTGATAAATAATAAACAGATTGCATCCTATTAAACCCCTGGGTGATAGACATGAGATAAAATGAGGGTTCATTACAGTGTCTAGAGAAGATAAGGCCACCTCTAGAGCTATAGCCCATGAGGAAAAGAATTGGGCACATGATAGGAACTGGCCCTGTCCCTCTTGGGTCATGTTTTCAGCCAGAAGAGTTTTCTTCATGGATTCCAGAGTTAGGATGAGCTGAGAAGGTTTGGATAAAAAGGCAATACACCCAAGATAGGCCTCTGAAGCCCAGGATTGAAGCTGTAAGTGGGGCAGAAGTAGCTGATGAGCCGAACCTGGGGGAGGAGAACAGAATATCAGAGAATATGGCTGAAAGAAGGGGAACTGTCAGTGTAAGCTTTGGAGCAACATGTGAATAGACCCAGCTCCACGGAGGGGTCTCTATGGTAAGGGACTCAGCATAGGACATGAAGCAGCCTTCAGGGAAGGGGGTTGTCTCAGCCAGCCCTGCCCTAAGGCTTCTTACTCGATTTCCATGTGGAGGAGCTCCAGGAAGGCTGAGAAGGTCCCCATCTGGTAGAGCAGGAAGCAGTTGTATCTGGACCAGTGTAGCACATCGACCTCTGAATCACATTCCCCAAAGGTGCCTAAAGGACCAGACAGTGCCACAGGGGTTGAGGGGGGGGGGAACTATCCCAGTTCTTTCCACTCTGCCCCATAATTTTAGGACCATCTTTCAACATCCTGTCCAATAATTTGGCTGACAAGAGTAGTGCAAGGGCCCCTCAGAACATCCCAGAAAGAGGCAGCGGTGAGGAAAGGCAGACTCCAGAGTTAGGTCCAATGTGCTCATCAATGGCCGATCGTAAGTTTGAGTTCTCTGAGAAGTAGATTCAGAGATGAAAATTCAACTACAAGCATTTTATTTAGGTGATCCCAGGAAACATCAGCAGAGAGGTAAGGGAGAGAAGGCAGCTAAGAGCTCAATCCCAGGTGGGGAGAAGCTCTGGGAAACAACATAAAACACACAACTCAAAAATCATCTTACTCAAGAAGGGTGAGGTAGTCGGGCTACTCACTCACTATCTCCTGTCAGTCACTGAGGAGTGCTGCTGGACCGGGGGAGCACATGGATTCCCCAGCACTCCCGGCTTCCCTATGTGTGCTGCCCAGAAACCCTTAGGCAAAACGGTGAAGGGAGAGGCACCTGGGAGTTGGTCATAGTACCAGACCCAAAAGATATGGTTGGGCATTTGCATGCTATAGTCTTCCCTTCCCCTTATTAATGTCCACTCTCTTTCCTCTCCATGTATGACTTTTATAGTTTTTAGCTTACAACTAGTCACTTCTGCCAACAGTCCTCTTATTTATAATTTCAGGGTTAATTTTACTATTCCAATTAAGCTATTTTATTTTATTTTTTTTAAATCAATTAAGCTATTTTATTTCTCTTTCCGACACCTGGTAATAGTCCTTTTCTAGAAAAATTTCCTCAATCTTATTGAGTTCTGATCATCTCCAAATTATAGCATCCACTCTTGCTGCTATTTTGGCTTGAACCTTCTAAATACCAACAAGAAACTATGCAGAAGGTCCATTGTGCATCTGTGGCACACCCTGCCTTCCCTCCGTGTCAGGGCCAGGTCACAGATGACAAAAGAAGCCTCCGTGCTCAGCTGGTAGTACTTTGTCAGCTCTGGCCACACTGACACTCTTACTAGTCTCCAGATACGACTATAGCCCGGGTTAAGGAAAAGAGAAGCCACGAGAAATCCTGATTTGCCTGGTAAGATAAAGGGGCAGAGTGGAAAGAACTGGGATCCAGAACAGTACCTACTCCCATCTCATCTTCATAAGCACCAGGTTACTCCTAGCATGTGACAAGATCTGTCCTTGAAAGGCAGGGACCTGCTTCTCCAGTATCACTTGCCCTATCCTACTCCTGAGAACACCATTTTTATTCCCGGTCTCCACCCCTCTAAAGTTGGCAAAGGTGGTCACTCACCTTGGGCCAGGTAGAGAACAGCTCGGGCCACCTTCAGCCGCCGCTCTCTACTGACCACCTCCAGGCGGTCCAGGAGCCCCATCACATAGGTCTTCTGGGCGTCTTCCTCCAACTCCAGCCACTCCTTGCCCTGTACTGGGGACAGGCCATATAGGTCCAGTGTCAACTACTGCCTTCCCTTCCTGGAAAAGCTCCTGACAGCATAGCACCTCTGATCTCAGCTCCCTAGAAATTCTTCTCTTCAAAAGCTTTATTTGGCTGAGAAAAAATAGGGGTGGGAAAGGTAAATGACCCAAAAGTTCTTGCCTGAACCCACTCTGCTGCCTCATCTTTTTGCACATCCCCTCCATCCTCCACACACAGTTTATACTGTTCTATCTCTCTGTCTTCTTCAAAGTGTTCCCTCTGCATTCCTACATATGCAATTCCTATTCATCATTACAGATCAAACACAAAATTACTTCTTTCCCACAAATGCTCCGGGAAGAAGTTCTATCCTTAAAGATATTTTTTACTTCTCTTTTGATACTTACTAGTTCCTCTTGGCCTGAGTTGGTTTTGTGGTATACACATCTCCCTTTTGCTATCTAACTATAATCTCTTTGAAAACACTGCAAATTCACCTTCACCCCTGCCTCCTGCATCTCTGGCATGGAACAGGGTACTCACCACACACTTGTTGAGTTGAAAATTGAATTGCCACTGACCAAATAGGGAATGGAGGTCTGAGAGAATCAGTGTGGACACATGAAATTATTATTAGACTAGAGGCCCAGTGCACAAATTAGTGCATGGGTGGGGTCAGGCCAGCCTGGACAGGCTGGGGGGGGGGGGTTTGGAGGAGGTGCAAGGAGGGGACATGAGAGGTTGGCTGGCTGTCCCTGTCCCTGATCAGGGTGGAGGTCAAACAGGGACAGGGCTGTTGGGGGGGAGAGGGTGCAGGCAGTTGGATGGCCCCACCCCCTGGCCGACACCTGATCGAACTCCCACCCAAGAGGACAATTTGCATATTAGCCTTTTAATATATAGTATGCTATTGACAGTGAGGCAGAGTTGGAAGCAAGGGTTGAACATTAAGGTTAAGGACTAGGCTAAGCACAGGGTTGTATCAGGCAGCAGGGCACCAGCCCAGCCCCACCTCCCCATCCCTCTGTCCTCTTTGCCCTTTACATCAGGGAAGGGGATTCAGCTCAGGCCACTTCAAGGTCTCTCCACCTGAGATATAGGAAACTATCTAATAAAAGCAAGAAGGGATAGCGAAGTTACACAGTTATGGAGCAGATGAAGAAGGGTCATACTTTGTTTAAGGTATTTTTCTAGATCAGGCGGAGATATCATGAAGGAAAAAAAAGCAGGTCTCTGAATAAGGGTCTGGGATCACCTTGAGTCTTGAAATCTTCTTCAAAGCACCTCCTGTTAGTGGTGAATTCCAGGTTCTCAGTGTAGCTGTACAATTCTGTGTCAGGAAAGATAGGACAGAGTCACATACATTTAGTAGACCCTTACCGAAGGGGTCTGGAGTAGAGAGGGTAGCACAAAAGAGCTAAAGCTTCCAATACATTCCTGTGTCCAATTCAACCCAGAGTCCGCTTCCTCCTTTTTGGAGCAGTTAAAAATAGCCACTTGTGTCCCTGGGTGATTAAACCATCAAACCTGTCCTCCTCCTGCCAGCTGGCTGACACAGCAGAGTAGGCAGGCTTCAACATTTGGTGAGGGCCAGGAGGAGGGTTGGAGCTGAGAGGGCATAATGTTATCACTTCTGTTTCTTAGGACTGCAACCCCTTCTGTTTGTCAACCCAGACTGGGGTTACTCAGTCTCTAGGAAAGAGGAGGGCACTACAAACCCTGACATTTAGAGGCGAGGGTGAGGGCTGAAGAATATGCATTAGAGATGGCTGTTTGGGGTTGGAGCCAACTCATTCTCTCCCTGCTAAGTTTCCTCGAAGGGTATAGAAGTTTAGGTTCCTGCTCACTGCCACCTGGGAAGAGACCATATAGAGCAGCTATTGTTGCCAAAGGGCAGCCTGTGCCCAGGAAAACCTAACTTTGCTGACAGTAGTCTCTCAATTCAAAATGCTTACAAGAATATAAATGCTCTTCCCCCCTCCCCCCACACACATCCGAAAATTATACCAGTACTCTCATCTTATGGAGGATGAAGAACTGAAGTTGAAAAATCAATAGGTGATAAAACAGGTTTCCTCAAAACCCTGTTCCCTAAATGAGATCCTAGCTGGAGATTTAATTAGGTCACAAAACAAGAGAAATTCACTTATGTTCCAGCCAGTTGTCTTATGGTTGAGAAACACTTTGTCTTGGAATCAGAGATTTAAAAAAATTTTTAGAGAAAGGAAGAGGAGATGGGGAGAGGGAGGGAGAGAGGGAGGAAGGGATAGAGGAGAGAGAGAGAGAGAGAGAGAGAGAGAGAGAGAGAGAGAGAGAGAGATTGATTGGTTGCTTCATACATGTGTCCTAACCAGGGATTGGAACCAGCAACTTGGGTATGTGCCCTGACCAGAAATGAACTCCGCCACCTTTTGGTATATGGGAAGAATGGGAAAATGCTCCAATCAACTGAACCAGGCTGGGCTGGGAGCCAGGGCTTTTGAGTCCTGAATTCCAGAATCCTGGAGTGACCAGAAGCAAGTCCCATCTCTGAATCTTAAATTCTTCAGTCATTATTGGAGTGTGTGTGTGTGTGTGTGTGTGTGTGTGTGTGTGTGTGTAAGAGTAGAGCACAAACCCAATCAGAAAAGAGAGCAGTTTCTTAGGTATTAAACTTTTTTGTTTTTATTTTTAAATTTTAGATCCTGAACTTACATACAGATAAATATAGAATACATATGACACATGTGTATCATCTACCCAGATTAAACAAATATTAACACTTTGTCATATTTGCTTTAGACATCTAAAGTCCCCTCTTCCTTTCCAGTCTATTTTATGTCCCTCTCTCAATGTAACCACAACAATAAAATCGGTGTGTATGCTGCACATGCCTACTATTCTTTTATTACCTATGTATGTACCTGTAAACATGATATTGTTCTGCTTTAAAAGTTTTATCCAAGTAGTATCTATCATATTGTATACATTATTTTTTCTTAGTAACCTTTTTTATTATGTGCAATAGTTTTTTGTATGAAAAACAGCATGATGAACACATCCTTTCACTTTATGGATACTGCTTTCAAACAAGTGTGCAACTGCACTGCCTAGAAATACCTTTTAGACTCATGTTTATGCAGTTTGATGCATGTTTAAATTATTTTGTCATTGATTCTTTCCTCCCTCAACATTGTTTTGAATATTTATTAATACTGAAACATATTGATATAGATCGATTATTTTAATGGCTATTTATTGATATACTACAGTTTATCCATTCTCCTACTAAGTTGTTTTCCATTTTCCACAAAGGCCGCAATAAACATCTTTGTACATGTTTTGTTATGCCCAAGTATTTTTAAAAAGTGTACTTCTTGTCCTAGCCGGTTTGGCTCAGTGGATAGGACATTGGCCTGCTGACCGAAGGGTCCAAGGTGCGATTCTGGTCAATGGCACATGCCTGGGTTGAAGGCTCAGTCCAACTTGTAGGAGGCGGCCAATCAATGATTCCTTCATCATTGATGTTTCTATCTCTCCCTTCCACTCTCTTCTTCTCTGAAATCATTAAAAATATGTTTGATTGTTTTAAAGTGTTCATCTAGATCACTAAGTCATAATATGTGTAGGTTTTCAACTTTGCTAGATATGACCAAACTGCTTTCCAATTTTATTATACTCTCATGCCAAGCAGTGCATAAAAGTACTCATTTCTCTGTGCCCTCACCAACCTAGGCTTTTAAATTTTGCAATTTGATGAATGTAAAATAATATGGCATTATTTTAATTGCTTTTCTCCATTACTAATGTAGTTGAACATCTTTTGAAAAAAATTATGATTGATTTCAGAGAAGAAGGAGAGGGAGAAATAGAAACATCAATGATGAGAGAGAATCATTGATCGGCTGCCTTCTGCATATCCTCTACTGTATTGAGCCCACAACCCAGGCACGTGCCATGTCCTTGACTGGAATCAAACCCAGGACCCTTCAGTCTGCAAGTTGATACTCTATCCCAAACCGGCTAGGGCTAGTTGAACATCTTTTCATGTTTTTATTGACTGTATAGTTTTCTGTTTTATAAATTCCTATTCATTCTTTGACCATTTCATGTCTCTTCTCTCTCTCCCTCCCTCCTTATACACACACACACATACACACACACACACACACACACACACACACACACACTATGTATTCTAATTTTTGTTGGTAGTTAAACTTAGCTATTTCAAAATTTGCTCCCTGTGCTTATTCACAAGAACTTCTTTAAAAACATTTGTCTATTTTCTTTGAAAAAAATCATATCTCAAAGTACCACTTCCATGTGACGGAATATTTAACTTTCACATCATCTCCACCCAAAGCTCATTTATTAATAACTGGCCTTCATAGCACAGGTATCATGGAGGCCCTTAATGTGAGGGCGTCATGTTTAGCCTAAGCCAGTGGTCAGCAAACTGCAGCTCACGAGCCACATGCAGTTTGTTAGCCCCTTGAGTTTTAAGCAAAGGCCAGCTTAGGAGTATCCTAATTAACTTAATAACAATGTACCTACCTATATATTATAGTTTAAGTTTAAAAAATTTGGTTCTCAAAAGAAATTGCAATCGTAGTACTGTTGATATTTGGCTCTGTTGACTAATGAGTTTGCCGACCACTGGTCTAAGCTAAAAACCCAGAGAGAAGCAGCCCAGCACTGAAAGGAGAGTGGGATCACACAGCTCCACTCCGACGGCTAAGGTGATATGGCCAGCCTTGCTCAGCTGGCCAGTTATCTATAGAGTTTTTTTTTTCAGCCATTGCTTAGATTTATTTAAGAGGCAAGTGTTAAGGGAACGCAGCAAGATAGAGGTAGAAGAGAAAAGGAGAGAGATCGGATGGAATAGAGATGGAGAGGGTGGCAGAAAGAAGGGGACATGCAAAGCTACGGGTGAATATGGGAAGAGAAAGAGAGGAGAAACAGGAGAAGGTGGAGAGAAAACAGATGAGAGAGTGCACCAAAAAAGAATAGAGTGTAAGCAGAAAAGAGTGACAGAATGAAAGAATGGAGAGTACCATAGCCATGGGAGGATTCACAGAAAGAAATGTGAACAAAGAGATATTCACCACTGAAGGGCGGCGAGAAGAGGGATGCGGAGAACAGCCTTTGTTCTACAGCCACTTGTCGAGAACAGACAAGCTGCCAAGGGAGATGACAAGCCCCTTCCTCTCCCTCCTGGCCACCTTCCTCTCTACAGACCCGTCTGCCTCATACCTGACAACTCTGCTGCATGCCCGTCTGCATCTCCATACTCAAATTCCAGAGTGGGGCAGTCCACGGAGCCCTGCAATGGAGAAATCTTTGCGGTAACTGGGGAAAGGGTTGACAAAAGAGATTATACCCTAATTTCATCCTCTTCTCCTTTTGGAGGCCAAGGTTAGATCAGGGAGGCAGCTAGAAGAGTTCCATCTGTGCCTTTCATCTAGGAGGTAACCTTCTACAAGTCAAAATTTTTATTTACAATTTTTTTCTTTATTGATTAAATTATTACATGTGTCCTTATCCTCTCATTGCCTCCCCTACCCGCCCCCCTAGTGTCTGTGTCCATTGGTTAGGCTTATATGCATGCATACAAATCCTTTGGATGATCTCTCTCCCTCACTCCTACCTTCCCCTACCTTCCCGCTGAGGTTTCACGGTCTGATTGATGCTTCTCTGCCTCTGAATCTGTTTTTGTTCATCGGTGTATGTTGTTTATTATATTCCACAAGTGATTGAGATCATGTGATATTTATCTTTCTCTGACTGGCTTATTTTGTTTAGCATAATGCTCTCCAGTTCCATCCATGCTTTTGCAAATGGTAAGGATTCCTTCTTTTTTACCGAAGTGTAGTATTCCATTGTTAGATGTACCACAGTTTTTTTAATCTACTCATCTGCTGATGGGCACTTAGGCTGTTTCCAACTCTTAGCTATGGTAAATTGTGCTGCTATGAACATAGGGGTGCACATATCCTTTCTGATTGGTGTTTCTAGTTTCTTGGGATATATTCCTAGAAGTGGGATCACTGGGTTAAATGGGAGTTCCATTTTTAGTTTTTTTGAGGAAACTCCATACTGTTCTCCACAGTGGCTGCACCAGTCTACCTTCCCACCAGCAGTTATAAGCCAAAATTGAGGCTCGGTGCTGGGAGGGGTTCATATAGAATCAGAAACTCTGGGTAATGGGCCAGGATTGTGAACAGATATGAAAGCTACAATCTGTACCCATATCTAATCTACATAAACACAGACCAGGAGAGCATCTAGCTGATCCTCAGAAAAACGTGATGGACGAAAACAAGAGGTGAACTGTATTCTAATTTCAACTCTGTCATTAACCCACTATATGATTTGGGGCAAATATCATTCTGTGGATCATAATTCAGCCCTAATATTCCAAACTTTAGGACTGTCAAATAAGGTAGCATTTCTACTCCAATTTTTTTTAAAGACTATCAATAGATCTCCTATGATGGTGTATGTATAAATTATCCTATATGATAAATCCCTAATATGCAAATCAGTTGAACTGCAGAACGACTGGTCACTATGATGTGCACTGACCATCATAGGGCAGACGCTCCTACAGGGGGAGCGCCACTCAGCCAGAAGCTGGGCTCATGGTGAGTGCAGCGACAGTGGCTGGAGCCTCTCCGCCTCCATGGCAGAGCTAAGGACCCCTTGGGGGATGTCCGACTGCTGGCTTAGGCCCACTCTCCGCTAGGCCTGCAGTTGGACATTCCCCGAGAGGTCCCAGACTGCGAAAGGGTGTAGGTTGGGCTGAGGACCCCCGCTCCCCCCAGTGCACGAATGTCATGCACCTGGCCTCTAGTTTTAATATAATCCCCTAACCTCTTTAAGCACTTTAGGGTATTTCCTACTAGTATGTATTAATCTATCTGAGCTTTTTAAATTTTGAATCTCAGCTTTGACATACTGTCACATATGTGATCTTGAGCAAATTACTTAACCTCTCAGTGTGGTGTAAGAAAATATATTTAGTCTTTGCCTCACCTCCCTCCCATTTCTGGCACAGATCTCCTAAAACCTCTGGAATTTCCTGAGTGATGGGAGTGTCTAATATTTATAAGGGTTCTTGTCAACCATTCTTGTGTTTAAGCTAATGAGGTGACTCACATGAACCCAAAGAGTTTCAAAGGAGCGGCTGGCCCTACCTCAAGGGAGGGGAGGAGGCTGGAGATTGAATTCAGTCACAAGGCCAGTGGTTTAGTCAACCATGCCTAGGTAATAAAACTTCAGATAAAAACCACAAAACAGTGAGGTTTGGGCACACAATGCCCAAATTTTCCTCATTTTGCCACAAACTCTGTCAAGGACTTTGGAAACCAATTAAACCAGGGGATCTGACTCAATGAGGCCAGAAGTGAATCCTTTGGAAAGTTAATAATCTTTTTATTAAGCAACTTCCTTTTTAGGTTGAGAAAGTTCATACCTAAAGCCATTGTGAAAGGGTAGGTCAACAGTGCCCTATAAACAGTGACATGTGCATAGGAGATGCTTTTGACTTAAGCCAAATAATTGTCTTTCAGTAATTCTTTAGCAGCCCTAGAGAGGAAAGAAAACCATCTCTCCTGAGGACTAGCTTACACAGGAGAGCAAGAGTAGGGAGGGAGGGAGGGAAAGAGGGAAAGCCCACCGTCATCTGAGTCTGGCACCCGGGTGTCTTAGTGATACTGACAGGAGAAGCGCTCTCCTGATGCAGTGGAAGGCAGAGGAAAGCTAATCTGTCCAGCCAGCCTTTTGGCAGGCAGTGAGCCCAGATAGAGAGGATCATTGCAGTTGTTCATTCCCAAGCATGACAAGTGCAGCTGCAGGAGTCAGGAGGTAAACTGCAGTGCAGGTGGAAAGCTCGGAGTCTCGGGATACTGAGCTCACTGAGACACTGAACTCACCGGCAAAGGTAAAGCAGTATCAGAGCCTTTTCCTAAAGGAAGACTTGGGACAAGGGGACAAGGAGGAGTTTTAATTCCCTCAAAGAGCATAGCACTCTGAAATTATGTTCTTTATTAGCATATTGTCGGTCTTGATCTCGCCACTCCCACTGGAATACTAGCTCCGAAGAGCAAAGATGTTATCTTGTTCACAGCTGTATCCCTAGCACCTAAGTTAGTACTGGGCATATAGAGTGACTATTCCCTCCCCCCAAAATATACCACATCTGAGTAAGAACAATGTCTCTAAGGGGGAAGGAAGCAAAGGGTCCCCTAAAAGGCCAGACTGGTACTGAGGTGGGGTAGGAGGGGTGGGGAAGGGGGAAGATGATGTGATGGATAGAACCCTGTCTGATCTAACAAGGCAGGAGGGCTGAACTATGCCTCTGAAAGTGGTGTGATCTGGAGCCAGTCTTTTCACCTCCTCTACTTCTCTCTTTTAAAAAATGGGATGGATTCCTACTCTGTCTGTATGAAGATGGAAAGCATACCTGAAATCCCTTTGGAAACGGTGAGATAGCATTCAAATGGTCCACCCTGGACTGGGATGCTTAAGTCCTGGCGCTAGAACCAGCTCTGCCCCTCCATGTGGCGGTGTGCGGTACTGCTAAGAGCTGCTCTGAACTGACCCGTTGCATGCAGGGTACCTGCACTGCATTAATCATTTTACATTCAATTATCTCACTTTGGTTTTATCACAGCCTCCCAAGGCACATAGCATTAACCTCATTTTACAGATGAAGAAAACTGGAGCTCCTAGAGGTTTGGAAATTTGCCAGAAAGTCAACACAGAGAATAAATGGCCGGGCTGCGATTCCAAACCTGGTCTGCCTGACTCCAAAGCTTGGTACTCCTGGCCTCTGAGCCAGAGGTACTAGCATGATGGTGGGCAAGTTAACTTCTGTCTCTTTCACGTCTGTGAAACCAAGGGCTAACCCGAGTGATCGCTACAGACCCTTCCACACCTGACACCCCACAGTCTGTTCTCCTGGTCCCCGCTCAGACTGGTTCTACTCGGGGCTGGTAGATGGAGACTGGCTAGAGAAGGATGGGGGGAGAGGGGGTCAATAATATGATCCAATCCTTTCATCCTCCTGGCTAGGGATTTATTATTAGTAGTATTACTATTACTATTATTATTATTATTAGTATTATTATTAATTTTCCAGAAGAGGAAGCGACCCAAACATGCATACTCCTATGTGTGGGTTTGGATCCTGGGACAGTCCCATCCACTCCCTCCTGCACTGGCCCCGCCAGAATCCTATCCCGTTAACCCTTCCAGGTAGCGGTCCCGAGGCCGGTGGAGCCGCCCACACGGGGACGTGGGAAGGGGGAGGGCAGAAGGCTCGGGAGCCAGGGTGGCGGGCAGCACCCCCAGCCCGCTCCCCTGCCCCGCGGCGGCGCTCGGCCTCCCGCCCCGCTCGCAGGTCCTCCACCGCCCGCGCCCGTTCACTCCTCTGTCAGCGGGAGGTTCGAATCCCCACCTCCGGGGGCTGCAGCTGCGAGCGAGGTGATAAATATTTGAAAAGTACCCGGTTCGCTCGGGATCGCGCCACATCTCCTGTAGCGGAGGCCAAAGGGGAGGGGAGGGGTCCGGGGCTGGAGAGCCCGGAGTCCAGCAGCGGCGCCCCCGCAGGCGCCGGCCCTCAGGGGGGACTCGGGGCGCCGGAACGGAGCCCGGCCACAGCCCCTCAGCCGCCGCTCCCCGCCCGCGGCCCCTCCCGGCCCCAACAGCAGCTCTCCGGGCTCCTCACCTCCGACTCCCGCCGCTGGCTTCGGAACACTTCCCGGCCCTTGGCCGCCGCCTGCTTCCCTTTGCCGCCGCCGTTGCCGTTGCCATTGGCGGGCGGGCTCCCGGCCCCCGGGGCCCCCGGGTCCTCCATGCGGCTCGGGTCCGGGCGCCGCTCAGCTGCTCTGCGCTCTCTGCCCGAGGCGACCCCGCCGCCGCGCGCCGCCGGCCCGGCCCCGCCCCCTGGGCAGCGATTGGCTGCTGCCGCTCTTCGCAGCCCCACCCCGCGACGCCATTGGCTGTTCGGCCCCGGGGAGCGGGACTTGGAGGGGCTCTTTCCAGGCAACAGCCCGGTCTTTTCCCCCTGATCCTGCGGCGCGGCCGGGAGCGGGGGCTCCGGGTGGGCTCCCAGCTCTGCCTCCCCGATTGTGGGCCCGAGAGCTCAAGGCGGTTATCCCTTTGCTTCTCTCTCGGGGCCCCTCACACTCACCTCCTCCCAAAGAGCGACCTTTTCGGGGAGCTCTGTTCTTCACCTCCCGCTCCACTGCGGCTGCTTCCCCGTGACCGCAGACCTCTGCCCCCGCCTGCACCTGCGTCCCAAACCCGCTTCCATCGCAGGGGAGGGATGGGTGGCCAGGGACCCCGCAGGAAACGAGGGACTCGCCCTCTCTGGAAGCTGAGGTTTCTGAAGAGAGCTCATCGGCTCAGAGGGAGGACTTAGCTGGGAGACTGGGGTGCACAGGTGAGGTGTGTGTGTGTGTGGGGGGGGGGGCGTTTTCGCTTCACTGACATTGCGGGTGCCTCTCAGGGCTGCTCCCGGTCACCTGCCTTCCTCTGCAGAAGCGGGCACCTCACGCTGTGATCTAAGGAGTTAAAATGGTACGGAGAGCAAGCGCTCTCGCCCCACCCTCACTCACCCCGAGATTTATTTATTTTTTAATATATTTTATTGATTTTTTACAGAGATGAAGGGAGAGGGATAGAGAGTTAGAAACGTCGATGAGAGAGAATAATCATCGATCAGCTGCCTCCTGCACACCCCCCACCGGGGATGTGCCCGCAACCAAGGCACATGCCCTTGACCGGAATGGAACCCGGGACCTTTCAGTCCGCAGACCAACGCTCTGTCCACTGAGCCAAACCGGTTTCGGCTCACCCCAGTCTTTTGCTTCATTCTTCCAAGATCCTTCCGGGGGGCAAATGAGGCTGCGTGGCTTGCCCACCCTGGAATTTATCTTAAAAGCAGGAAACGTTTTGGCAGTCTGGGTTGGCAATAGTAGCCCCAAGGAAGCAGCAGCCCGAGGAGAATGGGTGGGAGTGGGGACCGGCCACTCTTTCCAGGCACTGCACCAGGGGCCTTTCAGGTGTATCACACCTCCCGCTGACAGGCTGTTTTCACGAATCCAGTATCACTGGTGAGGAAGGCGGGACCCGAAGAGATGAATTACTCCTTGCAGTTCTCAAGGCATCAAATTCTACCTTGTTTCAGTGCCTTCAAATGTGCTGTTCTCTCTCTGGAGGGACTTTCTGTTCCTCTCTTGGCTAACTTCAGTTTTTCCTTACAGATTCTATTTAGTCATCACCTCCTCCTCCAGGAAGCCTTCCTTTGACTCTCAATCCTTTCAAGCCAAGTCAGCTGGGTTCCAAAATCCTTCTATTTTCCACTATATCCCTGAAGAAGCTATTCCACTGTTTACTTCTTAGAGACAATTCTGTCCCTTTCTTAACCCTATCTTTCTTTCTCATTTTCCTCTGCTAGCTAGTAGGGATAGGTAAGGCAGAGCTGAGAGAGGGAGCCGTCCTTGGAGCATTCTGAATTCCCTTTTCTCCCTGGTCCCCAACATCTTATTGCACCCTCTCACCATTTCCCCTTTCCTTTCTTATCCCCACCTCTCACCCTCCACCTACAACCTGGATAAAAGCTGGGGAGTAGAGCCAAGTTTAATTCATTTTTGTATGCCTCGTTTATGTATTGTTAACACAGGGTTTATGTAACTATTGACGGAGTTATTTGTTGTGGGAGCTGTCCTGTGCATTGTAGGATGTTTAGCAGAATCCCAGGCCTCTCCTCACTAGGTGCCAATAGTTCCTTCCCCCGAGGATGACAACCAAAAGTCTCCAGATACTGCAAAATGTCCCCAGAGGATTGAGACTCACTGGTTCAGCAGAATTGAATTCATATGAATTTCTAAGAAAGTCCCTGGCTCAAGGCTGAAACCATTTGATTTTGGAATTCTTCTCAGGGTATAATTCGTTAAACTCTTAAGGACTCATACTCTGCTTTAAAATTCACAACCTACGCCTAGCTCATCACCGCTTCAGTGTGGTAAACCTGCCACAGCACAGCCTATTAGCCTTTCTTAATAAAAGAATCAATTATCCTACCTTCCCTCTCCCCAATACCTCTCCTCCTAAGCAGTCAGAGCTCTAAGTGACAGGCCCACAACTTCATGTTCTCTTTTGTGAGCCTCGTCAGTCGGCGGCGGCAGGCAGGACTGGCCGCTTTTGAGGATTAGGGCAAAGAGAGCAAAGTGACCTTCAGTTGAAAGTAGGATTGAGGACTGCTCTCAAGACCCCTCTGGCTCCTTCACAAAGCTTTTTGTTGAGTCTAGAGCTCCACGTGGCTTCACTTTCAGAGAGGGTTTTGAAAAATTGGTATTGTGGTGTTTGCCAAGAATCAACATGAGATAGACCTCAATCCATTATCTTTTTCACAACTAGTGAAATGGAGGACTGTAAAGGTCAGACATCTCTGCATTATAGGTCCAGACTTTCAGAGTTTGTCATAAGAGGGAGCTATCTGGAAACAACTCCTGGAAGAAATAACAAAAAAACAGATTAACTGAAAACTTTGAAGCTTCGTAAGTCATGGAATTGGCATACACTCCCTCTCTTTTGTCAACAATGAAGTGGCAACAATCATTACAATTAACCACAGAGGTGACCATAAATATACCGGGGAGATAATCAGGGGCTGGTCTATAAATTTTTCTATCTTTGCAGAGATGGCCCCATGCTGTTATTTTTAAACTTCCAAAAATTCAGGTTTCCTAAGCCCCAGGATGAGAGAGGGCTGGAGGTATAAATAGGTATATTACAAGGACCAAATATATCCTTCTCCACGTAAGTACTCCACTATAACCCATGGAGGTCAGATATCATATATGGTTAAATAGGTAACACCTTACATGGAGAAAGTTTGAAAATAAGATGCAGGAAGTCTTAAAATACCTAATTTTTGAGGATAACAGGCAGCCAAGGTAAAGTAGTAGAAAAAGAATGGAACACCCTCCTCTCTCAAAAGCCACGTGGGTGTAATGAGAAAACACCTTGCATTCACAACGTAGAACTAGTTTAGGCTACCAACCAAAGAAGCTGGCTACCAGAAGCTGCTCAGGAATGGCTACTCTACTGGTAGTTGAGGAAGAACAGGAAGTTACTGATTGAGTCGGGCAAAACCTCTGCCAGATTAATTTCTTTCTTCCCTTTGGTTGTATGTTGTCAGGTCCTGGATGTCAGGGTTGTTTGGTCCTAAACCCTTGGATGATAGCTTCTCTGCTCTCCAGCTAAGGGTAGTACACAGGGGGCTTGGGGAATTTATAAAGATGCTTTCATTTCTCTGCCTTAAGCCTACACTTCTCAACTCCCCAGTTCTGAGAAAGCAGATTACTTATATGTGCAACGGAGGGGTGGGGTGGGAAATATTAATTAGTGGAATGACCCATCATGGAATAGGGTTTCAAGGTTGATGCCTATTGGTAACCGCTTCAGTTTGTCACATCTTTGCCCTACAGTAAGCTCTTTAGCCTGTTGCCCAGAAACCTCTCTCATCTCTGTATTAGTTCATAGAAGCAAAGAATACTCTCAAGATAGGAATCCATTTAAGAATATTTTATTTATCTTTTCAGATTACATGTTCATTATTGCTGATCTAATACAATCACTTAGACATAAAGATTTCTAAGAGCCTCTTCAGAAATGGTGATCCTTAGAGGTTTTATTTCCTTTCAGTTAGATGACAATGAGAACTAGATGGTTATTTATATATATTTATATATATGTATGTATATATAGTTTAGAACTTGTCCATATATGATTTGCTGGTGTTGCCTATTTTCTTTCAATAATTTTCCTTAATTAAAAAAAAGCTTAATGCAACAATGCATTCGAATTTCTTTTTTAAACTGTGGCAAAGTTAATTTTGAAAAAACCATAGGAGCAGCAATTTTATCTGTTCAGAGAAAAGCTAAGCAGCAAAAAAGCTTTGCAGGAGTATATGGCTATGGGAGCCGTGCTCAGATGGGAGGATAGGATGAGGAGGTAGGAGGGCAGAGGAAGTATACCAAATACGTTTCTTTAAAAAAAAAAAGAAGAGAGAAAGAAAACAATTTTTTTCATTAAGAAGACAAAAAAAGACCTTGAAAAGTAGCACAAATTCATCACAGGGAAAATGGTAAGTAGTCCCGACAGGCCAGGGCCACATAGAGAGATAATTAGTTTTCTTTCCCATGCTTCCAGATACCTAGGATGCGTCTAGGTGAGAAATTGAGGAAAGAAGACACATTTGCTCTGATTCCAAGGTTAGAGGAAATAATGACCAAATTCCAACAAAGAAAGAACCCAAATTCTCAGGAGGCCTGTCCCTCCTTCTTCTCAATGATTGACAACACAGGATCCCCAGAGAGAAAGGAATTCAGAGGCAAATACCTCTTTATGGACAGCAAAACTAGCAATGTGACCAAAAGCCTAGTGTGGCTCCTTTTTCATTTGGAAGGGCATGTTCTGTCAGGGTCAGCTCAAAGAAAGCTCCATGGAGAGCCAGGCTTTGCTGAGAAACAGCAGGTTATGACTTTTGGCCTAAGAACTTAATAGGCTAGAGTTTAGATATCTGCCTAAGGAATTTTCTCTAGATATAAGATAAAGTACAAAGATCTGAATATTTTGCAAAAGGGATCCAATTTATTAATACAAAAATAACTGGGTAAGCAAGAAAAAAAATAGCCTCGTGGAATTTTCAGCGTTTATGATCTTCTTCATGAAAGAATATAGCCATGTATGTGGCTTTTTTCCAGTACTTGCTAAGACATACAGCCTTTGGGTAATCAGACTGTATGGGCTGAGCCTACATGGTACTTAATGAAGCAAACAGTCATT